TGGAGTCACAGGATGGTTTGGGTTGGAAGGAACCTTGAAAGATAATCCAGTCCAACCCTCCTGCAGGGACATGTGTCACAAAATCTGGTTGCCCAAAGCCCCGACCAACCTGGCCTTGAACCCTGCCAGGGAGGGGGCAGCCACAGCTTCTCTGGGCAGCCTGTGCCAGGGCCTCACCCCTCTCACAGGGAAGAATTTCTTCCTTACATCCAGTCTAAACCTGCCCTCTGTCAGTTAAAAGCCGTTGCCTCTTGTCCTGTCACTGCAGGTCCTGGTGAAAAGTCTTTCTCCGACTTTCCTACAAGCCTCTTTCTATACATTGAAAGGCCTCAGTAAGGTCTCCCCGAGTCTCCTCCTCTCCAGGCTGAGCACCCCCAGCTCTCAGCCTCTCCCCACAGCAGCGCTGTCCCAGCCCTCAGACCATTCCCGTGGCCTCCCCTGGCCCCGCTCCCACAGGTCCATGTCTGTCCTGTGCTGGGGACCCCAGAGCTGGACGCAGGGCTCCAGGGGGAAAAGGATTTGTGGGGAGGCAATGGTGAGGAGGGACCTGGCTGAGCTGGAAAAGCAGGAATAGTGGGAAGATGAAAACAGAGGAGTGCAAAGTCTCCCAAGTTGGGTCTGGGGCTGCATCTGCAGGGACATTTCTAGCTCAGACAGAGATGTAGGTAGACTGGATGCAGGTAGAGTTGAGGATTTCCAGAGGAGGGCCCCAGAGATGAGCCAAGGGCTGGACAGAAAGGGGAGACTGAAGGAGCTGGGTCTCTTCTCCTTGGAGAAGAGAAGAGTCCGGGGTGAACCTCATCAGTTTTTGAGGACTTAAAGGGCAGCTTTGGAGAGGATGGGGGCTCTCTGGTCACAAGTTGAAGACAAGGGGCAGCAGGGACATGTTGAACCAGGAGAGGTTTCATCTCAGTAGGAGACATTTTTTACAGTGAGCACATTCACTGGAACAGCCTCCCCAGGGGCGTAGTGGAGTCCCAAGGGCTGAAGGTGTTCAAGATGCCATTGGACAGGGTGCAAGATGATCTCATCTGGGCTCCCCTTCCCACAAAAGCTCAGACCAGATGATCTCTCCAGGTTCCTCACAGCCTGGGTGTGCTGTGGTTCTGTGATGCTGGGGGCCACAGCGGTGCTGTAGGGGATGGAGGTGGGCGTTGGGGCAGAAATGAGGCTGGGCAGGTGCTTTCCAGGCATTCTGAGGGACAAGGATGACATGCTCTCTGCCCTGCTAGGGTGGGAAGGATTGTCAAGAAATCAGGTGGATCTGTGGTGCAAAGAGCCCCTTGCTTTTGCCGTCCCTTCGCAGCCCGAATCGCGGTGAGAGGCAGAGCTTTGGGAGGATGCTGAGTTTGGGAGCGGGATCTGGGGTGAAGCAAACACGTCTTGGGGTGCTTTGGTGTTTGCCGTGCCCCTTGTGAGCATGTCGCAGGCTGGCAGCTCTGTGAAGCCAGGTCTGAAAGCTCCTTGTTGGGTCTGAAAGCTCCTCGCCTGCCGCCGCAGCCCCCCATGCTGTTGGCAGGCTGTCAGCAGACGAGCGGCTTAACGAGCACATCACTTGTGTGAGGCAGCACCGTGCGGGAGAGGCTGCTCTCCTGTCTAATCATGTGCCGGGCCGGGCACTGGGACCGGAGGATGCTATTCCTGGCTCTCCGGCATGCTCTGCGAGCTGCTGAAGGCTGCCTCTGTCACTGTGCCCACCTGGCAGGCACGTCTCGTGTCTCTATCTGCATAAAATAACTCCAGGATCCTCAAACGAGAGTTGCCAAGCCCCGAGTGCTGCTACTGGGGAGACGGGCTGAGGCTCTCTGGGTTAGTGTGTCCTGCTCTGATGGTGACGCTTCAAAGAGTGTTGAAAGGGGGGGTGGGAAGTGAGATGAATTACCAGGTCTGGAAGAAGAAACGCCTTCTGGGGAGAGGTGGGGGAATGGGGCTGCTCGGCTTGTTAAAAAGAAGGTTCAGGGGTGACTGGAGCATCCAAGCACGTGATGGTTTGGGGACTCGTTCTGTCTCTGCTAAATTAGAGAGGCTGCAGTGAGAAAAAAAACTGCACTGAGGGGTCGAGTGGCAAACGCGGAGGGGAATTGGCTTTGGCTTGTCTCTGCAAAGGCTGTGAGCAGCCCCCGCCGCAGGGGTTGCTGCGGGAAGCTCTCCTCTCCGGCAAGGAGCGCACTTTCCGCCGCTCCTGTTAATTACCGATCGTTGCAACCCTCCACCCTTTCTCTTCCCAGTGTTTGCCTACGGTGCGACAGGAGCAGGGAAAACCTACACCATGCTGGGCTCGGAGGAAAGCCCTGGCATCATGTACCTCACCATGGTGGAGCTGTACAAGAGGATCGAGGCCAGGAAAGAGGAGAAGAGCTGTGAGGTGCTCGTCTCCTACCAGGAGGTACGCTGCGTCCGAGCTGGGTCCCCTCCTGCCTCCGGGTCACCGTCACTGGGACCTGGGGTTGATCCAGACCCTGCAGTGCCACACTCAGGGTACCTGCTGCACTGACAGCTATGCCCGATGTCCCCAGGGCAGCCTTAGAGCCTGGCTGGAAGCAGGCTCACCCACCCAGTTTGGAGAACTGGTGCTGCTGGTTTCTCCCACCTGGAGCCTGGGGCATTTTCTGCTCCTTGCGAGGGCTTCCTGGCCGAAAGGGCTTTGGAGGAGTGGTGGCGCGGTGACTTGCCAGTGAAGACTTCCCGAGCTCTCCTCTGCACTGAGAGCCCCCTCAGCTGCTCTTGGTGTAACGAGGCCCCAGAGGTGGTATCGGGGGGACACCAGGCTGTGCGTGACCCTGGGGCACAAAGTTCCTCTCCCTGCTCCCCGTTGGGTAACCAAACCTCAGCCTTCCATGACATTCCCTGCTCCAGGTGTACAACGAACAGATTCATGACCTGCTGGAGCCCAAGGGCCCTCTGGCCATCCGGGAGGATCCTGAGAAAGGAGTCGTGGTTCAGGGTCTCTCCTTCCACCAGGTGGGTAGAGAAATGGGCACAAGGTCTGGGCACCACTGAGCCTGCACCAGTTCTGACAGCGGATGCGTGTCCCGGGGCCGTGGGGGGTGTGAGGGCGCGGGGGTGCCATCTGCGTGGCTCCTGGCAGACAGCAAACGCCACCCTGAGCTGAGACGAGCCCCACGGAGCTGCAGGATGCCTCAGCCTACGCCGCCGTGGCTGCTGGGTGCTGGGTTGTCTTGGTGCTTGTGTACGGGCTGCGCTGACGCCTGCCCTCTGCCCGTTCTCTCCCAGCCCGCGTCGGCAGAGCAGCTGCTGGAGATGTTGGCCAACGGCAACAGGAACCGGACGCAGCATCCCACCGACGCCAACAGCACCTCCTCCCGCTCGCATGCCATCTTCCAGGTGAGGGCTGGGGGTTGCAGTGTCGCTCGGGATTTGTGCTGAGAAGGGGGCGAGGGAGCCAGCCTGTGCCAGGACCCGGGGTTCCTGCCCCTGCTCCTGCTGTGCCACAGGAAGAATTGGTGGGTCCTGGCCCTGAGAAGAGAGGTGTGGGTCTGGGCAGGCCAGTAGCCAGCGCTGCAGCAGGACAGCACACACTGGTCACGCTGGTGGCCATGTCTCCCAGACAGCCCCAGACTCCCAGCTTGGTGTTAGGGGTCCCAAGGGCTGAAATTTCCCTTTGTGCTTTTGTCTCTTGTCAATTCAGCGTGTGGGAGCTGCACCTAAAACCTTCCTCAGGGCAAAGGGGCCGCGTATCGCTGTCTCCTGCTTGTGCCTCCCCCCAGGTGCTGCAGGCAGGCAGTCTGCTCCGTCGTGTCTCCCCCCCCCCTGGCTCTGAGCCGGGAATTCCGCTCCCCCGGGGCTCTGTGAATTTGCTCCCCGGTTTCTCGGTGCTCTCCTACACAAACCTGCCAGTTGATTTCAATTCCAGCCAGGCCTGTCCCCGAATTAGCAGGGCCGTCACGGCTGTGTGGGGAGACAGAGGGCTCTGACTGCAATTTCATTCTGAACCTGGTGCCTTGCCCGTTGCTGCTTGCAGGGGGAAGTCCAGGTGTCTGGATGCTTTCCCAGCCGGGCTTGTCACTGGGTGCTGGATTCCCGCCTGCCGTGAATCCATGAGCTGTGCTGGAACTCTGCCCTGCCCGGCAGGCAAACCACAGTCTGGTGAGGATGCAGGACCGGTTACCAGCCTCCAGCATCTATCTCTGTGGCACCTCCAGGCCATGCAGGAGCCGATCCTGGGGGGCTGAGGGGGTTCCAGGGCGGTGGGGGAAGTGTTTGCTCCTCCTGGGAGATCCTGAGAGATACTGAAGGGGAAGTTAAGGAGCAGTGCTGTGGGTGAGTCTCAGTGGCTGTGTCCCTCCTCACCTGCACCAGCTGGGAACTGGGCTGGGCACCGCCAGCCCTGCTTGGATGCCTCCCTGGGGCACTGCGAGGCTGTGTCTGGGGGCTTGCAGCCCCCACTAGCATCTGAGATTTCTGGAAAAACCCACAGTCGGAGTCAGGGCTGGGGCTGCCACCGTGCGTGAGCACATCCCGGGTGGCGCCAGGGCTTTGGGTTGGGGTGTTGCCCTTCGCGGACACGACCAGCTGTACCCCACTCGCTCACCAAGTGCAGGAGACACTGATTATTTTCCGCAGCTCTGTCCCGTCTTGCGAGATCCCTTCCGTGGCTTTGCTGCTCAAGTCATCGCCGAGTTTTTGCTTGTCTTCTCAGCATGCCAGGCCCCTCCTTTCCTGCCGCTCGATCTCACGCCTGCATGATCCGCTCTGCCATCCTTTTACAAACACTGAAACCGGTGATGCTGGCTCCAACCAGCAGCCCCACGAGCCTGGTGGAGCTGCAGCCTCACCCACCTCTGTCCTCGCAGATCTACGTGAAGCAGCAGGACTGCACTGGCGGCCTCGCTGGCGACCTGCGAGTGGCCAAGATGAGCCTGATCGACCTGGCAGGCTCGGAGCGAGCTTCGGTCGCCAACACCAAGGGAGAGCGGCTCCGGGAGGGTGCCAACATCAACCGCTCGCTGCTGGCCCTCATCAATGTCATCAACGCCTTGGCTGAGGCAAAGGTAACGCTGTTCCTTGCGTGGCCCCGCCGGGGTGTGCGGGTGAGCGCGGTGTCCTCCAGGGATGGTTCTGCCTGTGCGATGAGGGTGGCAGCCTGGGCTGGGCTCCGAGAGGTGCCGTGGGATGAGGGTGGCCGTGCCCTTGTGACACAGATTTAGAGCTGAGCAGAGCCTTGATCTCTCGGTACAGAGCAGGAAAAGCCACATCCCGTACCGGGACAGCAAGCTCACACGCCTGCTGAAGGACTCCATCGGCGGCCACTGCCGCACCATCATGATCGCCGCCGTGAGTCCCTCTGTCCTGGCCTATGAGGACACTTACAACACCCTCAAGTACGCCAGCCGGGCCAAGGAGATCAAGGTGTCGGTGAGGATCTGGCGTTGCGGCGGCGATCTGCTCTGTGTTTGGGAGCGGCTGGGGATGGCTGGGAAGGAGCCTGGTGTGTGGTGGGGGAGGTTAGTGGGTGCCTCCCTTATCCAGCTTGAGTTTTCCAGCCCTGGGG